TATGTAACAAGTTGACTACTGATAAATAAAGGCACAAACTATATATGATTCAACCTTTCATTGTTCCAGAATATAAATTTGATAATCTTTCTATATCAGATTCTGATAATTGAAACAAGAGCTACATACACATTAATATTAGTCTTTTGTGGAAGCAAATTAATAAATAAGGAGATTAAAGAGTGTATGAAAGGTGAAAAAAATATGTTAAAAACATTAATTAAATTCTTAGGTTAATAAAGGGAATGTATGTAGTAGAAACCATTAGGTTAAAATAAACTTGCAACATTTTTCTCCCTGAGCATCAGCTATTAGGATATCAGAGACAATCCAAAACACAACCCTTCAACCATTCGAGCTTAAGCGATCGAAAATTCTATAAATGAAGCTCTTCTTTTTGTAGAATTGGCTGCCATTTTGGAAAAACACAAACTCAAAAAGCTGTAGGATATCAAGATCAGGCTAATATAAAGAGTGTACAGTAAGTAGTACAGTAGAAAAAATAGGTTTTAGATTCTTGATTAGGTCTAAGATTTAGGTCTTAGTTAAAAGATAAAGCTTTAATTTAATCAAAAAAAAAAAGCTCAAACCACAACAGATTTATTATAAAATTATGCGATTAATTATATCCAAACCTTACACAAGATCCAAGAAAACAATTATAGGGTCTTCTGACAGCAGAACATTTCTAGGGTTTCCTGCGCACAAATGGCTGAAGAAGTGCAAGCCGTAAGATCTTGCATTTATATTCGCCCATGACGTATGCTTGAATGAAACCCTAATTATTACTAGTAAATATTGAGTTTATCTGAAGGCAAATGAGAGAAGATCATAGGCATCATCTTGAAATGACTATTGCCTGTTATTTGATAGCATTTCAAATGAATCCATGCTCCCAAATGAGATGTTTCCCTCATGAAAACCCGAATTTTCACTCTTCACAACAGGGTTTAGATTCGTGTTTTCGTCGTTTTCTAAATAAGGCATATCTCCAGTTGTATTGTTCAAGTTAGGATCAAATTGGGACATCATGTCTTGATTTTGAAAGGACTGTGAGTACCAATTTTGAACATCTTGCAGAAAAAAATGGCCATCCCCAAAAAATTTGTCAGTAGGGTTTGCACTGTTGGAGCTATTTGGGATGCACTGAGCTGCTTGTTCCTTGAGAGAAGCCAGTTGGGCTTGAAGATTGACAACCTGAAAACCAGCAAATTAAGGAGAATGAATTTGAGAATACTTAAATTATAAGATTTTAGCTTCTTCTTCTTTCTTTAATGCTTTGGAGACTATACGTTCGTCTTACTAAACATGAATTAGGGCTAAAATTAACTAATTCAGTTTCAACATAAAACATTGAGTAGAAAAGGGAACTACCTGCTGTTGGAGGGCAAAAATATGTGAGACACAACCATAAGTGGGATCTTGGAGCCTAGCCTGAGCTTCATATGCGATCGTGGTGGCGGCTTCACAACGATCACTCACTGGCAAGTGAGCGAGGAGCTTTGACACGTTGCTCGCTCCGAAAACCTTGTGAATTGCCGCAAAATGAGTAGCACCTTGTTCATGGCAGAAATAAGGGGCAAACACACAACCCCTCACGCATTTTCTTCTCAAGAATTTGCAGGCACCACATGGGGAACCAGACCCTGTCATCTCGATCGTTTCACTGATAATCTGCTCTTATTTAACTTAGTTAGTACAAGAATTAATTAACAACATGTTTATAAAGACCAGATGTGGAGGAAGGTGGATCTTATCTTGTTCTATACTTAATTATACGGTGTTTCCTTATTGGGCTACATAATTCATTACTTTTTTCTTTTATATTCTGATTTAAGATTCCATTCGGTATCCTTAAAGGACAAGAGGGCTAATGTAAACCAAACCATTTCTGTTTGCTATATTATTTGATTTTACAGTGTCACTATTTCTTGAAAGTAACAATTTTTATACTTCAGTTTTCAAGATTCTTCTGAAGTTCTTTAAAGGCTGTTCACAAATATACGACAATGTGTTAAAGATGAAAAATCATCAATGTATATAATATTTGAGAAATTAAGATGTATTCTACAATCTATAATATATTATCAGAGAGAAGAAAATTGTTTGTGGTATATCGGTTTATGATATAAATGGAAGCCTCAGTTTCAGCATATTTTACCATGTATTCGAACACGAACTTAGCAGAAGCTTTTCCATAAGCAGATACTTCTACGGATTAGATTTTTATTATTCATGATAAGTGAATTTTATGCACTTATTCAGACTTATGTTCTTATTTAATCATAAATAAATTGAGCGATTATCTACCTAATTTATGTAAATTATGTTATTTAGGAAGAATCCCAACTTGGATACAAATTATGTGAAAAGAGGCTATTTGAAGCTTAATTTGAGTTGATTTGAAATAATTGAAGGTTAACCGGATTGCAAGGGATCAATTGAAAGTATTAATGGAACATTTGGTAAAAATTCATAAGTTCAGGATTTAAATTCAATATTTGAAAAGTTTGATGACTAAATTGCAAACTGTAAAACTTGTCTCCGGTCAACTATTATTACTTTGGAATGGAGAGGGATTAATTGCAAATATTACAAGATGAAGGAATAAAGTCACATGAGAAAAGGAGTTCAATTGGAAAAAAGATTTGTTTCCTTTTATTTTTTAAACTCTTCGGTAGAAATCAATCGAACTCTTTGGTGGAAATTAATTTCAAGAAGGACTTTATCTAATTTTGTTCTATAAATACACAACATATTCCAACAATTAAAGGGACACATACATTCAAGACAAGGGTTGGAGGATTCATTTTCCATGTATTATTCAAGTCAAAATGAGGGAAAAATCAAGAAACTAGGGTGTCAAGGATTTCATAAGAAGAAGGTGGAATATTGGTGCAAGATCTTCATCTTTTTCTCGTTTTTCCTTAATACCCGATGATATACTTTAATTCCTTCTAGTATTTTTATCCTCCCATGATGTGTAATTAAGTACTTAATTAAGATAAATGATTGTAATATAGTTTTGAACCTTAATTTTAATTAAAAAGTTTAAAATAATCCATTGATTTTGTAAATTGCTTTTACTTCTACTCTTAATGCTTGGATTAATTGGCCATTAATTCATTGATTTTGTGAATAATAATTACTTAGAGATGCAGATTAATTGTTTAGACCATGTAGTAAAAGTCGATAATCAGTATAAAACGTAGAAATAGTTATGTTAGTTATTGAGGTCATTATACGAATTCTTAGAAAAATAATTACATTTCACTCGGATTGATTCCCATGGAGATATGTAATTGATTTCATTAATTAGATTCAATGAGAACTCGAAAGAGGTAAATTGAATACATTAGAAGAATTTCATCGGATAACAAAATCAATTGTATAAAACTTGGTGATTCAGGTTAAGAGATAACTATGGTAAAATCATGAATTCTAACGCTTAAACCATCATATTAAAAAATCACTTTTATTTGTTTTAATATATTTA